CGGCGCCGGGCTGGGGTCGGGAGCCGCAGCCGCGCCGCCGAGCCGCGAGGGGTCAGCTGTGGAGCTGCGGGGAGGAGGCCCTGGCGCTCGGGGTGCGCAGTCCCGCGGAAGTGGGGAGACCCGGAGATTTGGAGCTGAAGGGGGCTTGTGGGTAGCGGGGCGTGAGCGCTCACGGCTGGGTTACGCGTCAGTTTTGGGTGGCCGTGTGGGATGAACTTGGGATTGGAATTTGTGGGTATGTTTAAACTCTTTGAAGCCTGCTTTTAAACTTTGTATCATCCTTTTCTTTTGCTGTACTTATTTTGGCGGCTTTGTAGAGTCTGACATTTGATGCTTTTAATCTGATGCTTCTCATATAGCCTAGGTGTTAAAGCAGACTGCGGTTACAATTAAAGAGCTTAACAGGTGGCCTTAGGGACGTTGATATTATTTGCAGTTACGTTTTGCTTTGGCTTTATGGGGGAAGGAGGCTGAGATAGGGTCTTGCTGTGTAGCCCAGGCTGGCCTCGAGTTCGTGATAATAATCCTGCCTCAGCCTCCCCATCGCTGATATTACAGGCTTGCACCACCATGCCCAGCAGGTCTTGCTTTTTCAGAAGTAACCGTGACCTGTTACTCCGAATCTTATCCTTTTGTTAAATAACACCAAATTGTGTCTGCCTAAAATACCATAACGAACGAAATGAACATACATAATAAATCAATTGAAGTTAGGCTTTTTTTTTTGGTTTTTGGTTTTTTTCCCTGTACTGGGAATCGAACTCACGACCTTGCGCTTGCCAGGCAGGTGCTGTGCCGCTGAGCTAAATCCCCAGTCCCTGAAGTTAGGCTTTAAACTGCCCCAGTTATGAGAATATTTTTGTAGAAAGTGGCTTAATTTAAAACTTCATTTATTTAATTTTGAGACAGAGTCTCACCACGTAGTTCAGTTTTTTCTTTTTTCTGTCTTTCTTGGTACCTGGAGTCGAACTCAGGACCCTGTGCTTGCCACACAGGTGCTATGCGGGTGAGCTATATCCCCTGCCCTCACCACGTAGTTCCGGCTGGTTTTGAACTCACTATGTAGCCCAGGGTGGCCTTGAACTCATGGCCATCGTCCTGCCTCGGCTTTCTAAGTGTTAACATTCCTTTCAACAGTGTTGAACATTTCAACAGTGTTAACGTTCTATAATATTGAGAGAAGACCTTGAAAATTTTTTGATTTTAGAAGTGGAAGTTGCCTTTTCTCTGTAGCCAGCATCTACATTTAAATTCGAAAAGTGGTAGTTGCTAGCTGTGCGTGGTGGGAGCACACCTGTAAGGCTAGTACTTGGGAGGCTGAGGCAGGAGGATTGCTGGGAGTTCAAGGCCAGTCTAGGCTACACAGTGAGACTCTGCTTAAAAACAAAACAACCAGCCAACCCCAACAACAACAACAACAACAAACCAAAAGCAGGAAAGTGGTAGCTGCTTCTTTTTGATTTCCTGTTTAAAGGACTGACTTTTATCCTCTGATACTTGTGTCAGATTTATGGAGTGTGATTTACAGATCATAAAGAGACATTGTGAGATCACCCTCTTCCACTCCCCATCAACCTCAGCTTCCGAGCGACCTCAGCCCCTTGATGTTCGCTTTGTGAGCTGTGGTTGCAGGATGGCCTCCTGCCAGAGTTACCGCGGACCTGGAGCTGCCATCTAGTACTGTGTTGCTTTCAGGGCACCACGTGTTATTAAATGTTGAGTCAGTTTCCATTGGTTGAAGCCAGTTTTTTCTTTCATTTTAGTTAACTTTCATTTTTAATCTTGCTTGTTACCGTGGTTGCTGTTTGAGAAAAGGCCAGTTGGAAGAGCGTCACCAAGAATGACACCTTAATGAGCAGGGAACTGAGAGAGATTTGGTGCCCTCTTCCAGCTGTGTAACAGACTCAACTGTGAATCTCAGGAAGTCACGACTTTCCATTGGCCCATTTACCCTGCTGTCACGTGTTCATTTACAGTCGGTTCTGAGATAGGGTGATGTGCCCTCTTCCAGCTGTGTAACAGACTCAACTGTGAATCTCAGGAAGTCACGACTTTCCATTGGCCCATTTACCCTGCTGTCACGTGTTCATTTACAGTCGGTTCTGAGATAGGGTGATGCTTCACTTGCGTTGGTATGGAGTAGTGCACAGTATGCGTGGAAGTGCTTTTTAACCAGTCGAGCTTTTTGTGCAGTATGTGATTTTATCCCAGCTGTAGTTAGCCTTTCCTTCTAACTGTGACTTGCTAATAACAGCTTTGATATGGGTATTTTGGTCCACCCTTTTAAAAAAGTAAAATTTGGAATGCCAGCATGAAATGGATGCTCTCATCAGTGCACTCATTACATTAATGTAGTGCTTTGATTAAGGTTTTTACAGTAAAGTCTTGTTAGTAAGATTGCTAACTTGGAGCTGACCAAGGTGACCATACTTCACACATGGTTTAGTTTTAAAGCTTACCCTTGGATACTTAAAAGTACTTTAACCAATTGTTTAACTTCGAAAAGTAAATAATATGAAAGCAGTAGTTTATCTGAAGTTATCTGTATGCTGATGTCTCTCATTCAGTTTTTAGCACTTCCTCAAGGATCTTTCCTAAAAATACTTCCTCAGTCAACAAAAGTATAAATCTCAGTAGAAATAAACAGGGAGGGGCTGGGGATTTAGCTCAGCGGCATGGTGCCTGCCTGGCAAGGGCGAGGTCCTGAGTTCAATTCCTGGTACGGGGAGGGGAGGGGGAGAAGTAAACTAGCTTACAGAAAATACAGGCTTTGTTATATATATGTATCTTTCCATCACCCATATATTTTTAAAAAGCTGAGGAAAAATTGATTTGCTTTTAAAAATAGACAGGATAAGTATGTATTTGTCCAACCACTCACAGAATCCAGTGGCAGAACACTTGAAACTTGGATGAAATAATTTTAGGACATATAGAGTTTGTTTTGGTTTTTTGTGGTGTTGAGGATCGAAAATGCAGGGCCTCCCATGCTAAGCAGGTACTGTACCACTGAGGTACACCACACCTCTCGTGCAATTTTTTACCGTAATGGGTAAAGAATTGGTGAAACAATATAAAAGATAAATATGGCTATGTAACAGACTACAACCTCAAAACTTGGTAGTTAAAAAAAACCTAGTGTATTATTTAGCTCAAATTGGGTGCTGTTTCTGCTTTACTTCGTTGGCGTTGGCTGGGATTAATTCACTGAGCGCCTCCCTTCGCATAGCTGACTCCCAGCTGAGAGTTCAGCTAGGACTTGTCTTAGTTACTGTTTTGGTGGCTGAGACAAAATACCCAACACCCACAGTCCATAATCGGCTGGCTCCAAGGTAGGGTGACACATGGCAGACAGGCTTCGAACCGGAGAAACAATTCATGGTGGGCAGGAGGTGGCAAAGCAACAAGAGACAGGACAAGCTTTTTTGTCCCTTATACTGTATCCAGGCTACTGGGGTTAGGGTGATGCCACACCAATCAGTGGACTGATTAGTAATCATCAAGTCTTAATCCCAGCATCCTGAGCCCTAGCATTGCACCGTGAATCCGTCACACGCTCTAGATTTCAACCCTCTGAAAAAGCCTCGTCTGTGACTTCATGAGGGTTTGGGAGACATCTAGTCACAAACCATGATGGGCCTTTAGTTCTGTGTATCAGCCTCTCTCCTGGTGCTTGGGTTTCCTGAAAGCATGGTGGCTGGGTTCTAAGGAATATTATTCCAGGGAACAGGAAGTAGAAATTGTCAGTTCTCATAAGTTCTAGATTTAAAAGTCCAGGAATGTCTGTTGGTCAAATCTGGTAAAGATTGACCCAATGTCAGGGGGGTGAGTATATGTGTGGGAAATAACCTCTGCCTGTTCATGGAAAGAGTGGCAAGCAACAGAGAGGAGGGAGTAGTAGGGGGCCGCGTTTTGAGTCTGTACCACACAGGTACCCATTATTCTTTCTATTGGATATTCAGGCTAAAAATATGGGTGAGAGCAGCTGAGTTTGCGGATAATGACCCCAGGAATTCTTGAGAGGCATTTTTTTCAGATTAACGTCTCAAGCAGCTAATGTGACCTGCATGACTTGCCCAGTTTGTCACAGTGGACATAGACTGGGTAAGTTAATATGGTTCAGAAACTTTTTATTTACTCAAGAAACATAGGTATCAAAAAACAAATTATACTTTAAAATAAATAATTTTTAAAGTTTCTTTCCAGCCACTCTTCTGTAGGCATTAGGATATGAAACTATAAGTTACAGTTCTTTGTGATAATCTTCTAGATTTGTGTTTGTAAAAGATATTTATAGTAGGTGGTTTTGTGGGGGCGGGTTGCTCTGTTGCCCTCCAATTTCTGGGCT